ATATTTGACATTCTCTGCCCGTCTAAGTTTCCGCCTTCTTACTGCGTGAAGAAGACGATCATCATCATGGTCAAGGTCAACAAACCCAACAAGCTATCACTGGTACTAATAGTAGTAGATATACAATATCACTGGTACTGTGTTATCAACGACGAAGCCTGGAGATTGGTCCTCTACGGCGGAAATAACATAGTTTCAAAAGGTTTAGTGAAAGAGTTGCAACTCAAGAAGCTGAAGAGAGATCCATCCGTTAGGGTTTGGGCAACGAGAAAAGGGGATAATGTCGCAGAGGAGACGTGTAAAGTCCCTGTCTCAGTCGGAGAGTATTACAAGGATAAATTTATATGCTATGTGATCAACATGGAAGAAAAGGAAGATCAACTTCTCTTTGGAGGACCATGGCTTTATAATGTTCAAGCTACACATGATGCACGATACAACTCTTGTACGATTTTATGGAATCACAACATCATTCTATTGCAACCGCAGCTGTAAAACGAACGAGTCTTTGACACCAAGTAAATCATATTCAAGCCACATATGACAAGTTTTAGTGTGTTTTTAATATAGCCTCCTATTGTGTTTGCTTTTTGCCTTCTACGCGCAGAAAAATGTTAAGACATACCTCAAAATCCTGAGATCAATTTATATGATGGCAAGACCAGTTTTCAGATAATCCAAGCAAGAGAAAGGCAGACGCAGGATTCGGTCAACTTCTAGTGAAGTCTTCATGAGATTGCTCATGGTTTTCTCTCTATGTCTTCCCTCTGACCCCATCCCTCTGCTCACCACTAGCGATACATTACATAGCCATGGCACTTCACAAGCAAACACCAACCCATTTCTCTCATTCTCCATTAAACCCTTTTTATAGGCTCTACCGACTTTCCGTACATACTTCCCCGTTGTTACACCTTCATTTGATCTGTCTATGTCAGAGATGTCTGCGTCAGAGTGAAGGTTCACCACCATAGTTCCATGCTCATGGTGAAGTATTTTGCTCAAAGCTTTCATGAACACGGAATTGGAATCCCACAGACTATGAGGAAAGATGTCTGCTCCATCATAAGCATCCATGAAGATCATGTCATAAGTATTACTTTGGTTCCTGAGAATGAATTCCTCTGCTTTTGATTCATAGAGGAAGAGTCTCTCATGGATGCCTCGCCACATCACTTGATCAATAATTTCAGGAGTTTGTAACGCACGTTTCCTGGTTGCAGTCATGACAGAGAATGCAGGGAAGCCCATTGCTCGAACCGACTCTGAGATAACAAGTGGGTCGAGCTCGACAATGTCAACAACAGCACCTAAAAGACAGATTAATCACACCATTCACATCAATTAACATAAGAATTACAGATGGAAGTTCTAGATAATGATATATAAGGTACAGTGATTGTTCCTACCAAGAATGTGTTTAGCTAAAAACAACGGTAAACTTCCTCCACCGTGACCGATGCATAATATACGCATTTGTTTCTCCCCAATAGCAACACTCCTCATATCAAATTTGGAAGCTACAAGGGAAGTCAATCCAACTGAAACCATACTCTTCAGATCTGTAACCAAATGAAAAAAGAGTCCGGCTTATTAATAACACAGAGGCCAACTAAAACAACAGCAGAGTCATCATTATATTTATCCTAAACCATTTTATACATGGAAACAAAGGACTAACACGTATTCAAACACGATAAACAAACGGTTATACAAAATAAGTAAGCCTTTAATCCCCATTCCTAAATCCATGTTTTTCTTTCACCATTTGATTCACCACTTGGACAATGTCCAGGAAAACAATGCAGAGACCAACTAAGAACAATGGTGGAGCTACATTTAACCTGAACCCATTCTAACTATATCTATTAGCGCCATTCCTTCATCTAGTTCATATGAACAAGTCATGTTCTATGTATCCAAGTCTAAAAGCGACACACAATAGCATTATAAAGAAAGGAATAAGGGTTTAACAATCTCACATGGAACAGCAAGACAATGAGGCTGTTGCATATAAAAAACAGAACTCGGTTGCAATGCTCTACAAGCAGCCATAACTTTCACAGTACTTTGTCGAGTATCATCGTTAAACCGAAGCGATCGCCATTGATACCCAAGTACACTAAATCTCCCATTCTTCTCCTCTCCATCTCTAGACATTATCTCCTTATACCTTTTCTCTAACCATCTCTCAGTTTCTCCCCATGAATCTCTACTCTACATAAAGATAAATCATTACAAAAAAAAAAACTCTCCCAAATCAAAGATTGATTCCTCACAGATACTCACAGGGAGAGAAGAAGGATGGGCGACAACTGAAACGACGCCGTTTCCTTTAGCGGAAGTAGCTCGTGAGACTGTGTAACCGCCGTCGTTAGGATCCCACCATTCCGGCGAGTAAAACCAGTCTCCTTCTTCCTTTATTACGCCGTCTCTTCCGCAGAAATGGCGTACACATGACTCGAAGACGCTTAGCTTTTTTCCATGGCGTGTTGTGAACGAGAAACGTTGAATTGAATTCATATGTGACAAGACCCAGAACCACGAAATCGCCGGAAAATCAAAGTGGTTGAAAAGGGTTTGGACTTTGGCGGCGGTTCGGGTTATTGTTGCGAAACCCTGCTTAGAGAAGAATTTGGTTAATCAGGGTTTAAACGGTCCTATGGAGAGTTAGAGTGTCGCCGGCGAATAATTTTTTTTTCTTTTTTTACAATTTCTGTTTTCTTTTCTTCTTTTTTTTGTTAGCAACATTAATAGGTTTATTTTACATTTTTTTTGGTTTTTTTAGTGGACAACTTTATTAAATTAACTTAAATAAGTCAATGCTAAAAAAATATTGTTATATAGATAATCTATATATATAATGAGAAAAGTGATCCCGCAATTTTTCCCGCCAAAACACTTGTAAAAACTTGTAAAACCTTTAAAATACCTTGTAAAATTTTCCCGTAAAATTTTTTCCCGCCAAAAAAATTTTTTTGCGGGAAAAGTGATTCCGCAATTTTTTTGGCGTTAAATTTTTGGCGGGAAAATTTTTGGCGGGAAAAATTTACAAGGTATTTTAAAGGTTTTTTACAGGGTATTTATAAGGTTTTACAATGTATTTTAAAAGGTTTTACAACGTATTTATAAGGTATTTATAAGATATTATAAGATTTTACAAGCTATTTTATAAGGTTTTACAAGTTATAAGGTTTTACAAATTTTTTATAAGGTTTTACAAGGTACTATACCTTGTAAAACCTTTTAAAATACATTGTAAAACCTTACAAAACACTTGTAAATACTCTGTAAAACCTTTAAAATACCTTGTAAATTTTTCCCGCCAAAAAAATTGCGGAATCACTTTTCCCGCAAAAAAAATTTTTTGGCGGGAAAATTTGTTGGCGGGAAAAATTTTTACGGGAAAATTTTACAAGGTATTTTAAAGGTTTTTACAAGTGTTTTGGCGGGAAAAATTGCGGGATCACTTTTCCCGCCAAAAAATATTTTGTATTTTGTGGACCTAATTTTGTTTCAAATAAGGGTAAGATGGTCATTAAAAATTAAAAGAGGGCAAACTTAAAAATGGACTCTCAAATGGGGCATTTTTGAAAAGGGGTATTGAAAAAGGGGCATTTTTAACAATTTCTCAAGAAAATAAGAGTTAAACAAAATACCAAAATTAAAGGATTTTACTTCAACAAAAAGTAATTTCTTACTGAAAAATACACTTCTAAAATTTGAGAATATATTTATTAATGTTAAAGTATCAATTCATGATACCGATTAATAATAAGAGGGATTAAGTACATATTATTATTTTTAATTATAATATAATAAAAATAGTTAAATTAATAAACTTCTCTATAACTACTAATATTTTTTAAATTAAAACGTGGTAGGTTTCTTAGAAACATATGAATACCTAAAAAAAGGGCTAAATATAAATCAATGTTTAGGAAACTATCATAGATTGAAAAAAATTAAAGTGGTTTAAAATAAAATAAAAAAAAACTATCCTAAACATCACAAATAAAAATAAAATAATCTAATCGAATAATAAATTGTATAGTAATAGTTAGGGGTGTCAAAATGGGTCAAGATTAATGAGTCAACTCAACTCAACTCAACCCATGAACCCTAATCAGTTGAAAATTTTGACTCAAATGAGTTGATGGATCAAATGAGTTATTGAGTCAAATGGGTTGATGGATGAAATGAGTTGGGTTGTAATGGGTCAATGGTTTCAATGGTTTACCCATTTAACCCTTCAATTTTTGTTAAATTGAATTAAACCAATCCAAAACTCTAAACCGATTTCAATTTGAGTCTAACCAAAACTTCTAAACCGATTGAATATAATCCTTAATTATCCCGCTAAAAATGTGAATACACAATTTTCCCGCCAAAAATATAAATTCGTGATTTCCCGCCAAAAACGTAAATCCGTGATTTTTCCGCCAAAAAAATTTATAATTTTTAACCAAAAATGAGAAAGGATAATTTTCCCGCCAGAAATGTAAATCTGTGATTTTCCCGCCAAAAACGTAAATTCGTCGTTTTCCCGCCAAAAACGTAAATTCGTGATTTTCCCGCCATAAACGTAAATATGTGATTTTCCCGCCAAAAACGTAAATTCACTTTAATATTATTTTCTTTCTAATGTTAATTTACTTTAATTATTAATTTATTTATTACATTAATGAGTCAACCTAAGAACTCATTTAACTCCAAACTCATTGGGTAATGAGTTGAGTTTGGTTGGGTTAACCATTTTGACACCCCTAGTAATAGTATTTGAGATGGCTATTTGGAAATTAGAATAGTAATGGCTCATAGAAATTTTTTTAATAAGAAATAAGAAGGATGTTGTTTTAAAAATAAATAAAAGGAGTTCATAAGTTACATTATGACAAATATTTCAACATATTTTCAACATCTATATATATAGTAGGAGAGTTGTCTCTCCATTTAGGGTGTCCATAGGGGTGTCAAAATGGTTAACCCAACTCAACTCAACTCATTACCCAATGAGTTTAGAGTTAAATGAGTTGATGGGTTGACTCAACTCATTTAGTAAAAATGAGTTGAGTCAACCTATCAACTCATTTAATTTGATGGGTTATAAGGTTAAATGGGTGGACACATTAACCTATTAATGTAATAAATAAATTAATAATTAAAATATTATAATAATAATAATAATAATAATAATAATAATAATAAGAATAATAATAATAATAATAATAACATCACTATTATTTGGCGGGAAAATCACGGATTTACGTTTTTGGAGGGAAAATTATGGATTTACGTTTTTGGTGGAAAAATTTTACATTCTCATTTTTTGGTTAAAAATTATAAAAACTTTTGGCGGGAAAATCACGGATTTATGTTTTTGGCGGAAAAATCACGGATTTACGTTTTTGGTGGGAAAATTTTACATTCTCATTTTTGGCTAAATATTATAAAAAATTTTGGCGGGAAAATCACGGATTTACGTTTTTGGCGGGAAAATTTTACTTTCTCATTTTTGGTTAAAAATTATAAAAAATTTTGGCGGGAAAATCACGGATTTATGTTTTTGGCGGGAAAATCACGGATTTACGTTTTTGGCGGGAAAATTTTACATTCTCATTTTTGGCTAACAATTATAAACAATTTTGGCGGGAAAATCACGGATTTACGTTTTTGGCGGAAAAATCATGGATTTACGTTTTTGGCGGGAAAATTACATATTTTCGTTTTTGGTTAAAAATTATAAAAAATTTTGGCGGGAAAATAATGGATTTACGTTTTTGGCGGGAAAATTGCGGATCTACGTTATTGGCGGGAAAATCACGAATTTATATTTTGATGGGAAATTGTGTATTCATATTTTTGGCGGGAAAATTAAGGACTATATTGAATCGGTTTACATTTTTTGGTTAGACTCAAATTGAAATCGGTTTAGAGATTTGAATTGGTTTGATTCAATTTAACCAAAATTGATGGTTTAAAATGGGTAAATCATTGAAACCACTGACTCATTATAACCCAACTCATTTGATCCATCAACCCATTTGACTCAATAACTCATTTGATCCATCAACTCATTTGAGTCAAAAATTTCAACTCATTAGGGTTCATGGGTTGAGTTGAGTTTTGGTTGACCCATGAATCTTGACCCATTTTGAAACCGTGTCCACATCATCATCCAAGTCCACCTATTTTTATTTTGTGTGGGCTCTACATATTTTATTTATTAAAACAAAAAACATTACAGCTATAATTAATTCACACATTTTATAATTTTATATTATTATATTTCATTAAACAATAACAATAATTTACAAAACAATAAATTAAATATAATAAACGAAAAAAATAAATTTATAACACAAAATATGAATTTTGTGAATAGAAATTGGATAAATATAAAATTACATAATTATATCTTAACATATAATGAGTAAATATTCCTAAATGAATGGAGATATGAATAAAGAACTTATCATATATTTTAATGATAAAAAAATTATTTTTAAGAGTTACAACTATTTAGTAGAATAGAAAAAATAAGACTTTAAAATATACTAAATTTTATAGGTTTTTACTGAAAATGAAAATAATTTATTTCTGAAAAATACACATTTAAAATTAAAAATATATTTTTAATGTTAAATACTTATTGAAAATAAACAAGATTGAGTACATATTATTGTTTATAATTATAATATAATATAAATAGATACATTAATAAAATTTTCTATATTCTCATTGTTTTCTAAATTAAAAAGTGGTGGGTTTTTTTAAAAAATCAAATGAATACCTAAAAAAAGAAAAGTACATACTAATCAGTGTTTATGAAATTTTAACATAGATCAAACAAATTTAAGGGGACTTGAAAAAGAAAAAAAAAACTGTCCTAAACATCACAAATAAAATTAAAATAATCTAATAGAATAAGAAACTGTGTAATAATAATATTTGCGAATGCTATTTGGAAATTAGAATAGTTGTCAATATATGAGATTTGTTGTCAATAAAACAATTTTACATGCACCAAACATGGTCAAAGAAACTTTATAACAAATATTTCCCGAGATTTTCTAAATTCACTTTGATAAAAAGATCATGCAACTTATAAAAAATAGTTGAGTATTGAAAGATATGAATGAGAAAATATATACGATATATCTTGAGAACTAATTCATAGTCGAGTATATTATATATGAGCCAATATAAGATGAAAAGAGAATAGATGTCGGGAGACGACGAGTGAATCATAGAAATATAAAAGAAAAATTGTAGTGAAAAGTGTCAAAAAATATTTACTGCTATGAAAAGATAATGAAAACGAGTAAAGTAAAATCTTTTAAAATTCAAATAATTCAAAGATTCGCATTGATAAAAAAAAAATTAAAATTCCGCGTAACGCGCGGGTACATAATCTAAAACTGTGATTTGAATGTGGGAGTAATGTGATTTGGAAGCAATGCGATTAGCTAAAACTGTGAATGGAGCTACGTTTTAAATGCCATGCGATTACATCGTAATTTTGAATGGCAAAATTTGGATGCGATTTGAGTGTGATTAGAAAACAAAATTACTAAATTAGCCACTAATTGTATTATTTTTTATATTTTCAGTTTTCTTTTATATTAATTCAATTTATAATATATGATTATATATATTTCTTAAATTAAAGTTATATATTAATTATATATATATATATAAATCAACATATACTCACCAATTTTAATTTTTGCATCCACCAATTTTAGTTTTTGTTAACATCTTCCTTTTAAAGACATTTGAAGAATGTACAAAATCAAAAATTCTTCCATGTTTGTTCCGTTTGTGTTTTGCCTTAAAAATGGAAAATAAAAAAAAGATGCGACGGAGGGAAGTTTTAGAAAATAAACAAAAATTGCTCGATAATAAATTTTGAGGGTATAATGGTCTAGATACACATAGAACACAGTTGTAGCACTTGCATGTATCGGGGCCAAAGTCTTACATACAAGTCGAACAAGAGATGGTAAGTTACATCAAAGTCTTAGATTTGTTTTGTTTAGTTACATCATGATGTTTATCATTCACCTTTTAATTGTTTAATATTTTAGGAAGTTGAATTGGGAAGACCGCCTACTATTGGTGAAGTTTTCATCAAGACTCATACCAAAAAAGATGGGACTTTTGTCGATATGTAAGAATATTTCATTCTATGTGGCCGTGTCTTACGGTTTAATTATAAAGTTCAAGTTTATATATTAAAGTTAAGCATTCTAATATTAAAGACGACACCGTGATGGATCGGTTTCGATTAAAAAATTAGAATTTGGGGGTATTGATAACCATCCTCCCTTACCTGAATATATATTGTATAAATATCTCTCTAAAGTTATATGTATTGAATTAGTAGTTAATATATAATTAACTACATATGGATGATACTATATATTTAACATTAAGTGGTGGTTACTAAAAGGTGGTTACGTATAAGTAATTGTGATGGTTCATCATAATTATAAAAGGGAAGTGACCACATCTATATATACATTTTTGGTGAACATTTGGCTTCAAAAATCCTTTAACAATTTCAATATTGTACATTTAGTCCCTACAAATAAAATCTGGAAAAATATATGTCTTAATCAAATTTACAAATCAATAAATAAACTCTTAAAACATTTCCTATTTTTATGGTTACGAGATATCAAATCCTAACATATGGAACTCAAATATTCAATTTTAAATGTTATTAAAAATAATATTGAGAATATCTAGCAAATGGAAACTATTAAAACAATAAAATCGTGATCAAATCTAAATTAGCATTAATTTAGAAATTTTTTGACCCATAAATGATTAATTCGGATCCTTATTTATTTTAGACTTTCCTAAAAAAAAATCTTAACGTAATTAATTGTTTGATGTAGTAAGGAAATACTCATATTTATTCTCGGTTAACTATAACAAGGAATTAATTTATGGCATATTCTCCACATATGGTATATACCTAAACCAAATCATTTATAATTTTTTTCAAATCTATTTTGTTATATAACGATTTCCTAATCTTCCCTTAAACATTACTATCATTCATTGTGAATGAGCTAAAAATCACTTTTCGTAATAATATCTTTGATTTTCTACTTCCTCTTCAAGATATTCTCAAACCACCTCAACAATAAACCTAGACGCCTACCTACTCTATAAATATCAAACTTTAATCTGAATAGTAGACTCATCAAACATATATTCTTTTAGCCTATTCCAATTTTTATTTGTTATATGAACTTTTATGTTTCATGATTTGTGAATGTACTAAACATTTGATGTCTTGTGCAGATAATCCTAAACAAGATAAACCAATGATGATTGTCGTGTTCAAGAGTGTATGCTTTAAGTTTATGTTGGATTCTTTCATATGGTTAGTTTTATTCACCCTATTTCTTCTACCTAATTTATCAAGTTTCATATGATAATCTTTATATATATTAAAGATAGCTAAATCGTAAGGTATAGAGAACTCACAATCGTGACGCCGTTGGTTGGATTCATAGCCTCAGAAGAAGCCTTAGAGGACCATTTTTGTTCTCAACTTCCAAAGCCACATCCTCAAACCTGCTCCTCCTCTCAATATTCCCATCAGAAAACCTAGATTTCTTCTTCCCATCCCTAACCCCATTCTCTTCCTCTCTCTCTTTCCTCTTGCTCCTCGATTCCTTCTCTTTACTTCCTTCGTGAGACCTCTCATGGTGATGCTTTTCCCTATCTCTACTCCCTTCTCTCTCGCCTCGCTCTACAGATCCCCCTCTGCCCCGAGCTCTATCCTTGGTCCTATCTCTCTCATCTTGCCTATCGTCGCGCCTTGATGAACGGTAGTTATCTGAATCACGACGCTTGGAATCATCGTCGCGGTCACGGCGGCGACCGCCTTCACATTGTGGAGAATGATCGGGACTCGAATCTCGAATCTCGATCACGATCGTCACGGTGGCTCCAGGAAAATCTCTCCTTATCCATGGCGGAATTTAGGGTTTAAATTCTAACAAGAATTTGCTTCTGCTTCGCCGGTCCTATTAATATATACGAAAATTCACAACCGGAATAAACCAGCGATTCAGATTAGAACCAAAAGACCAGCGAAACCAA